TATTACGGAATTGTTTCGTATTACGTAATTTCGCGTAATTACGCCTTAATTACGCGAAACTAGTCTTTCTTTTATAAATTTTAAAAATGCGTAATTACGCGTAATGTTCCTGCGTAAGTGAAAGAAAGTGTTACGTGTAATTACGCGTAACGTAATTACGACTGGAAACCCTTTCCTTCATGGCTGGTCTTCTGATATCCGATTCTTTACTAAAATTGTCCACTGTTACACTCAGGTACTTTATACATTCTGGAACTTTGTACGCTCTGGTAGCACTCCTAATTTGTTGCTTTACTGTTACTGTTTCTTCTGGTTCCATTATCAATCCAGGTACAACTCAATCCCTCTTGTTGGTCTACGATGCATAAAAACTAATCAATTCAATCACACTTTTCTATCAATGTCAAACAGGACACGATCTATCAGCACAATGTCTTCACTATCAATGGCAAACAGGACACGATCTATCTGTGCAATGCTTCACTATCAATGGCAAACAGGACACGATCTATCAGCACAATGTCATCACTATTAATGGCAAACTGGACACGATCTATCTGTGCTATGCTTTACTATCAATGGCAAACAGGACACGATCTATCAGCACAATGTCTTCACTATCAATGGCAAACAGGACACGATCTATCAGCACAATGTCTTCACTATCAATGGCAAACGGGACACGATCTATCTGTGCAATGCTTCACTATCAATGGCAAACTGGACACGATCTATCTGTACAATGCTTCACTATCAATGGCAAACAGGACACGATCTATATGTCTTCACTATCAATGGCAAACTGGACACGATCTATCTGTGCAATGCTTCACTATCAATGGCAAACAGGACACGATCTATCAGCACAATTCCCAATCTATGTCTAATTAATCTCACTTGGTTATTGTTCACGAGTCCCATTCCAACTAAATATATTTGGGGCTCTATGTTACAAGTTAAAGAAAATCGACATAATTACAAGTTTTACGTTGTTATATACAACGGAATTAAGCTAATCATGTTATGTAGTTATTTACAGCGCAGCTTAGATAAATAATTATATCTAAAAATGTAGATGATTAATAATGTACAACGTAGTTCAGGTTTACAGATATAGTGTTACATGCTATTTATTGCAGGTTAGGTTAAACGCAATAAAAGGTTTGCGTAGTTACTAAAATGAGCATTTAGATTTACAGAAAATGTATAACGTAATATATCTAGGTGTAACTTTGGGATCTGCCCCTGGTATTTATTACATATCATCTGTTAGAAATGCCAGGACAAACAGAAATTTGTGATTATTGGTTCAAAAATCATACATTTTAAAGTAGGTTGACTATATGCATCACATCAAGTTTATATAATCTGAATACCTCGTAATGATTTGTATTATTGGCTATAGTATATCAATTACTTCAGGACATATCGAACGTAGCATTTGTTTGAAGTTACATTAAAAACATTTTATAAATACCTCCGGACACCACAATAATAACTTTGTTATGTTCTTATAATTGAAAAAAGTTATACTCTGGAAGCATTAGCATTTTAAAACAATTAAATTTAACATCAAAACTTACTAAAAACTATAACTTTGCAGATATTTTCCATTTCTTTACATACTATCTTGATACTCTTTAAAATTAACATTCTTTTCTTTTATTTTTATTATTATTATATTTTCGTTACATACTTCTATCGATTTTTCAAAAGAAACAAACATAATTGTTTGTTCAATATTTCCCCCCCCCCCCCTCCTATCACTCACTTCACGTTCCCGTACAGGACCCTAGTATTATACATATACCGCACTAAACTATAACAAACTATTCAATAACAGATTTAAGAACTATTTTAATATTTCTCGTTATTCTTATAGTTATTACAGTTATGAATAACTTATATTTTTTGTTGTGATATGTCTTACATAGCATTTGTATTCTCTCTTTCAATGTATGTTGTATAATGTTTTCCTTAAACTAAACAACTTTAGTAAGACCGAAGACTTTACAACGTGCTAAAAAATATTTTATTATGTGCTTCACTGCCGGCCGAAGAGTTCTTAACAATTTGTAAACAACACTTAAAAGGTTGTCTTGCAAAAACATATTAGACCCAAAACTTAATCTTTTTAGATAAAACAGAGAGCACTGTATAAAAGGATATTTGCTAAAAAGGAAGAATTGTTTCTATCAACGTCTATACAGTGAAACAAAAATAAAAGGATTTTTTTTTACAAAACAAAGAACTTATAGTAGTCTTTGAATTTAAATCTTGTTTAATTAAGGCCCAAAGAACTTATAGTAGTCGTTGAATTTAAATCTTGATTAATTAAGGCCCAAAGAACTTATAGTAGTCTTTGAATTTAAATCTTGATTAATTAAGGCCCAAAGAACTTATAGTAGTCGTTGAATTTAAATCTTGATTAATTAAGGCCCAAAGTCGAAAAGTTATAGAATATCCAGTCTTTACGTTTACTCTTCAACAGTGTATGAGAAATCTGTTACTTTTCCTCTGTAACTTTATAGAGACATGTACAAGTATGAAGTTTAAAATTGAACTAATTATAGTAAACAAGTAAAACGAGTAAATCAAGTAAAACGACAAAGGGGGCCGAGCAATGTGGTTAGGACAGGCTAGATGGCCGAGCGCTGCGGCCACAGATCTAATAATGTCTATAACATTAATTCATTTTTCCCGTTTTCCACTTTTTAACCCTTTATATCATATTTCAGTTTATTAATAAATCAACTGTACAATCCATATCTAATCCATATTATAAATCCATGTCTAATCCATATTATATACAGTATTATACACTGCCCCAACCATTCATTCTCGTCCGCAATTCACATTTAACATCCTTTAAAATAATTAATTATCCAGTAATTTAACAATAACAGGATGTCTTCCTTTTATATTTCAGGATCATTTATGTTTTTATGCAGTAAGTTCAAAACTCTCACGTAAAAATCAATGAGAATTTAATTCTATAATACTAAAGCTTAAAACTAGTGTTTAATAGTTATGGCATTTGCATGGTTAGGTCCTGAAAAAGTATAAGTGAGTTAATAAGGTAAGATTAAAAGTCAAGGCACGCGTTGCAACATTTTAATGTCGATCCGGTGTTGAAAATTGATACAACTTTTCATATCCGTCTAGTCTGGATCTCTGTGAGTATGAAAAATTTTCAATAGAAATAGAGTTCTTGTGGTAATCTTAATCTTGAAAATTATTAACATATGAAAAGGTGTTTGCACTGACTTTACAATTTGTTAGGATCCGGTGTTCGGAAGATAATTGGTTGTAATTCATATACCAAAATATTTTGATATTTTTAACATTATTTACCGTCTATTTCCAATCACTTAATATTTTTCAAAATATTTTTTTTTTAATTTTAAATTTTTTTTAGAAATGCTCCCTGACGAACAGAACTATTTTTATTTTTCTCATACAATGCATAGTTTTATAGATAGAGACAGCGGTCGAAATCGACCGCTTCGTCAACACGGAATTTTGAAATGGCAAAAATCGACCGCTCCGGAACAAAGCAAAGTTTGTAATTTTTTCTATTAAAAGTAAATATATCTATAGTTAAACATTGAAAACAGCTTGTTTGTAGTTTGTAGTTCAAACATCTTGACACACGGAGGCCTAAAAAATGGGGGGGCAATTACCTCCCCCCTCGACCCCCTTTAATGACATTACTCATCCCCCCTCCACCTTCATAACATTACTCAGCAGTCAGCCCTGGTTAAGTGAAATCTTGGGGAGTTTCAGACCCCGAAGGGTTCTGAGCCCCATCCCCCCCCCTGAAAAAAAGTTTTAAGTCCCCTCTGTACAAAATCCTGTATACGCCCCTGTTATCTTCTAGAACTAGTTTTCATAAAATTTATACTAAGTATTCAGAAATTATTCATTTTCTTCCTTACATTCACATAAATCATGTTTCCTTCCCATCCCGTCGCTCCCTTCCCATCCCTCCCTTCCCATCCCATCCAAGTCGTGCGTGCACTGTACAATTATAACTCAAAACTTAAGCCTAATACTAAAGTCGTCTTCTTATTCCATAGTTTAGTGGGTCTCATTAGTCTCACTATACACAACGATTTTTCTGTCATTATTTGAAAAAAATGTGTCTTTTCCGATAGATTGAAGTTTGCATTAGCATATTGGGTCCCCTCCGCTGGAGCGGAGGCCACCAGAGAAAATTTTTTTTCAGCCATGGAAATACAAAATTCTGATTTAATACTAATTACTCTACTGAGGGATGGTAATTAACACTCAGGACATTAATTATTCCATTGGAGGGATGGTAATTAACACTGAGGACACTATTTACTCCATCGGAGCGATGGTAATTAACACTCAAGACACTATTTACTCCATCGGAGGGATGGTAATTTACACTCAGAACACTTTTTTTTAGATCTAAATATTTATTTTGTAGCAGAGATTAAGATATTACAATTGTATTACAAGTTTACAACTTTCATAAATGGAAAAACTACATTATTTATTTTCTATATAAATGATTCATATGATAGAAACAGATTAGACTTTGAATGCCAGTGCAATATTTCGCAGCTGACTCCCTCGTCATCCATTGCTGAGAAACAATCTAGCTGGGTCAGCTGGTATCTGGCTAGGAGACAGAGAGTCACAGAGATGTGTTGTTGCTAGCAGGGTTAGGGGGAGACGAAAACAGAACACTAATTACTCCATCGGAGGGATGGTAATTAACACTCAGGACACTAATTAATCCATTGGAGGGATGGTAATTAACACTCAGGACACTATTTACTCCATCGGAGGGATGGTAATTTACACTCAGAACACTAATTACTCCATCGGAGGGATGGTAATTAACACTCAGGACACTAATTAATCCATCGGAGGGATGGTAATTAACACTCAGGACACTATTTACTCCATCGGAGGGAACTTAATATGCTGCTGCAAACTTAAATCTCTCGTTTTTTCCTAGAGAGAAAATGTCTGACTTAGAGACGGAAGATCTAGACAGTTCAATAAATAATGGAATTGTTGAAGGAGCTTACCCTGTCAAATTATCTCGGAAAACACAGGTACACACACTATATTTAATACTCTAGAATTATTTAATATTTTTAGTAATTGTCTAGGAAAATATTGAATGTGTAGTAAACATCGATATATCAACACAGCAGCCTCTGAAATTTGTTTCTGTTGAAACTATTCTTGAGGATTATGATCATTTCAAGGAAAACTCTGACTTTTCTTCTGTTATTCAGGTAGATCATTTACTTTGGATCATGATTGGTAAAATATATCTAGACCTCTGTTAATCATCTTAAACAATTATAATGTAGTATTCAATTTACTCTAAAAGTCAACCTTTTTAATATACGACGTCTTTAAAAGAACCTTTAAATTACTGAATGGAGGTATAAAACAGTAATCTTATTTATAATACAATGATTATTTTGCGAAGGAATAATTAACGTAGTATTTATGTAGGTCATAAAAACCTGCAATCTGACTGATGTTCTGCTTGTGCTTAATCGTATCCCTGGAAATATTAATAATTTTTTACTTTGCGCCACTCAGGTTAACATTATATCTTGTTTTTATGATTTAAATAATTGGCAAATATAAAGAAAAATTTAGTCATTTACTTTACTATGTAGTATGCACTGTATTATGAATAGTATGCACTGTACTATGTGAAGTCTGCACTGTATGTACTGTATTACGTAAAGTCTTCACTAAATTATGTTAAGTTTGCACTGTACTATGTCATGTAGGTACTGTATTATGTAATGTATGCACTGTACTATGTAAAGTATGCACTGTATTATGTTAAGTATGCACTGTATTATGTTAAGTATGCACTGTACTATGTAAAGTCTACACTGTATTATGTAAAGTATGCACTGTATTATGTAATGTATGCACTGTACTATGTAAAGTATGCACTGTACTATGTCATGTATGTACTGTATTATGTAAAGTATGCACTGTACTATGTAAAGTATGCACTGTATTATGTAATGTTTGTACTGTATTATGTAATGTATGTACTGTATTATGTAATGATTGTACTGTATTATGTAATGTATGCACTGTATTATGTAAAGTCTACACTGTATTATGTTAAGTATGCACTGTATTATGTTAAGTATGCACTGTATTATGTTAAGTATGCACTGTACTATGTCATGATAAATTTCCTTTCTCAATTGCATTCAGCTTGCGCTACGTTTCTTGTCTTGATGTTTTTTTTGTGTGCCAATGGTTATGACTTTAAGTCTTTTTATCACTTTTTGGTACCTTGGACTTTCATTTTCTTCGGGTCTTTATACTTGCTTCCTTTCAGGTGTAATTTAATTTTTAATACATTTCAGGATGCGATACAGGAATACTTAAGGTTAGATTTTCTAAAAGATTTTCTAAAAGATTACTGATTAGTAATATGTATTTTTAATTCACATTTTGAATTTAAGGGGACCATGACTCCTTCTAAGGTAGTAGGAGTTTGGAAATTTACTTTTTAATTTATGATGGATAAACATCGTAAAAAGTGTCTGCTCATACTTTTAAAGATAAATAAAGTGTAAATTTATAGGGCCTAATTTTAATAGTTTCGGTGCCCAGATTTTTAGATTTCACAGATTGTCACAGATACAGATACGGGAAATACGGGGCATATAGGGTTTGTGTATGTTATATAATAATATTATATGACTTATTTGGACTGGAAATGGTTAAAGGTAAATAAACAACAGAAATAAAATTAAAAACCTTCTTTTCCTCCAAAGTAATTTCTGACCTTTGATCCCAACCTTTGTTTTGTTTTGATATAACTTGTTCCTAAAAGTTTGAATACGTTACATTCAAGTGTCGCATACCTTATCCCGGCCCTGCAACGGTTTGCATATGGTATTGAAAGTTTTACATTTAATGTTGTTACAAAGCAAATAGTTTTTTAGGCACTAATTAAACCACTAATTTGGTGAAATAAATGTGTTTACACGCCACAATTGTTATGTTTCATGCTTGTTGGACTTTTAAATGTTTTAACTTCATTCTAGAAGTCGTCTTCTTGTTTGAGAGTTTTCTGGTAGTTAAATAGTTAAATGAAAAATACCATTTTTTCTGGTAGTACTTAAAGCATATGAAGCTTAAATGATAAATTGGGTGACAAGTTTGAATGTTACCAGTAACAAATCACTCCATTATAGCTCGAGCCAGTAATATCACTCTGATTTAAACTATTTTTGATACAATTTAATTTTCTTACTCATTTTTTTTTTTTTGGGGGGGGGGTTTAACTATCTTTCAACAGATATTATTTTGGTTAATTGTGAGTTTGACTATCCTGTGTGTATTATTTACACCCTTAAAGTATGGGTGATGTAAATATCTTGTTTTTCGTTAATAACTTTGGGACATGGCTTTTCCGGAAGCTACTTTATTCTTTCCTTTTATTATCCTATTATCGGTCGTTAATATACATATCTATTTATGCAACTGCCTTGTGTTATCACATGGGACAATTATACTCGATACAAACAAGTCGGATAAGATACTATTACTATTGCATATTTTATTCTAAATGACCAAATATAAATAAGACTGAGCCCTATGAGGAGGTATGTTAGACTGGTGTATGTTCTTCAACCTACTCTGTNCCTCAGGTATTTAATAATGCATTCTAGTTTCTTTGGACATGATCTCAGTAACATGGTTTTAAAAATGCTTTTACATTTAAGGTGCTCGCCTTTGGATGCACATAGAAATAAACGTTAATCATTCAATCAATCAAAAAATTGCTTTTGTTTTGTTTTAATTCAATTTGTACTCGGGCATTAGATTTAAACAGAAGCTGAAACTTAAGAGATTTGTTTTACCATGGTTAAATTTCTACTGTAGTTAAAAAAAAAGATGGTTTGGTTTGGCAATCATAAAAAGATTTGTCATATTGACTTTCCAACCCAAAGTCTAGAAAGTAGAGCAGCCATATGTGTGTCCAATCAGAGCGCAGTGTTTAAATCACATGAGCTGGGAACTTTTAAATTGTGGATATCGAGATTAATGCTTCATTCACTATTTTCCTTAATCTCGAGATTAAATAATGCTTGTTTCCTCTTGTTATTAATCTCCAGATTAATTAAGCAATCGGGATTAAGGATATCCCATTCTTAAGTTTTCAGCTATGATATCACACACTATAGCAGAAAGCATTTTACAGACAATTCGGCCTCAGGGCAAGATACGATAAAGACGATATTTTAACGTAGTCATCCAAATTTATTAATTTTTTCTTTCGTTCATCTTCTCAACTTCTCATCTTTTACTGTTTTTATTTGGATGCTAACCAATATTCTGAACTGGGACTATAAAGTAGGAAAGTTAATCCCAAATAAAGGGGGGCTTGATCTTATTCATTCACCGATCATCGGCTTCTTTTGAGTTATAATTGTTTCTTTTTTACGACTTAGAAATCACTCTCATTAAGAAAAAATTCCGACATGTGTTTTGGCCCAATAGATACATATAGAAGTTCTAGGAAAATATTAGAATTATCAAGGAAAAAAAATAATTTAACTTTTTATAAAATTTACCAAAGTTTTGATTATTTTTATAGCTATGATGACCATATTGAATCCTTATCTAAACGTCTTCTCTCTCCAAACTATATTCTGATATGGAGTACAAAACATTTTATCTACCCTCAACTTCTGCTTAGGTAAATATTTGATCTAATTAAATTTAAAATAATCTTTTCCCCCTTTTTTGTTATTTTGATCCCTAAATTTTAGTTATCCCTGCCTATAGGCTATAGAACCTGGACAAAAAAGTGGGTTTCAAAGGAATTGAGTCTTGGCCACAAACTCAAATTTTGTTATCCCTCCATATTTGCAACCTTTTTCAAAAAGCCTAGGCCGCAAATTATTGATTTTATGAGAGAAGAACATCCTTCTTAGCAACCTGATAGAGTAACATAATTTGTTTTTAACATTCGCTTGGAGAATAAACTGTACAGAGCACCTGATGATGTTGTTTTGCTGAGATGGCATCCCACTGAATCTGCATCTTTAATCGGTGGATTAATTAATGGACAACTTGTAATATGGGATTTACAAAACTACATAAAGGTAATATCATTGTTTAAGTTATGGTAACAATATAATCAAGGTATATCTTTCTATTAGTCACAATTATCACAAAAAGTATAATTTCTCTGGTATTTTTTTACACTATTGGTGTTTTAAGACCGTGTCATGAAATAAATTTGTCAATATTTTCGAAGGAATTGAGTATTTGACACAAATTTTATTTGTTGCCTTTTTACCAAGTTCTATGTATATTGTATAAATAGTTTTCTTAACGCATATGGGCGGCGAAAATGTATTTGTAATAATTATTTATGACCAATAAATGATTTTGATGACGTTTCAAGAGTTTATTTTAATGTTAAGGTCTAAAATAAATGTTTAAATGTTTTAGAAATATTAAATATTAAATTTCTGTCACAAGCTTTGATTCTCTGATCCCGATATCTTTGCAACCCAACCTTTTATATTTTTAAACTATGAATTCTTTTAGATCAAATTAATATGAAAGGTTAGCGTGAAGATAAAAGAACTATAGAAAATATGAGTTTGTGACCAAAACTCAGTTCCTTTTTCGGCTAATAGTTTAAAATTATGCAGAAGATAAGGACTGAAAAAATACTGTTTTTATATTGTATTTAAAATTGATTTATTATTACTAGAAAGTGTTAAACTAAAATTTTTAAAAAAGCAGAAAAGAACTGCTGGATCTTAAAAAATATTGCTTGATTTTATTTTTATTTACAGATGCTGGAAAACTTGGAGTGCACTTGGGATCACAGAAAGATGAACAACGGTATTTTGAGGTGTTGGGGGGGGGGGGGGTTTAACTATCTTTCAACAGATATTATTTTGGTTAATTGTGAGTTTGACTATCCTGTGTGTATTATTTACACCCTTAAAGTATGGGTGATGTCAATATCTTGTTTTTCGTTAATAACTTTGGGACATGGCTTTTCCGGAAGCTACTTTATTCTTTCCTTTTATTATCCTATTATCGGTCGTTAATATACATATCTATTTATGCAACTGCCTTGTGTTATCACATGGGACAATTATACTCGATACAAACAAGTCGGATAAGATACTATTACTATTGCATATTTTATTCTAAATGACCAAATATAAATAAGACTGAGCCCTATGAGGAGGTATGTTAGACTGGTGTATGTTCTTCAACCTACTCTGTATATTTAAATACTGTCTACTATTAAGAAATGTGCGAAAAATCTTGATAATAATCCATGAAAATCTCTGAAGAAACGGACGTTTTACTTAAATAAAAAGTCACAATATGCCTTGGAACAAATATGCAGCAATCTTTTATTCCATGGATCGTAAAATAGAAAGTAAAAATGCATGAAAACAATGCTCTTAAAAATTAATTGAAAAAAAAATTTTACCACTAATCTAGCATATTATTTAGCGTATTTAATTTTTATTTTCTGTCATGTTTAGGCGTGAAGAAGATTCTGAATCGGGCCTTTTGGATTTAGTTTCTGAGTATACCTATAAACCACCATCACCCAACCCATGGCAGGTAATTAAAACCTAACTTTAAATAAAAAAGTTCTATTTTTTTCACACAGGGTTTGGGAAGTGACAAGGAAATAGAAAATGACTGGGTGAAAGATTGTAGACCAAGGTAAAATAATTATACATCTTTTTCTCAAAATATATATTTTTAAGAATTTCAAAAGAAGTACATTATCTTATTTTCAGGATTCATCTGAACATAAAGTTAGCGTTGAGAAAGCCTGACTTTAAATTCTCTGATCGAGGAGTTGAAGATGTTAAGGATGGATATGTGAGTTGTGAGCCTTTTCAGGTATTAGTTAACACTTTGAGATCAGAGCTGAAAAAATTAGAATTGTGGATATCGAGATCAGTGCTTGATCTTCTCTTTTTATTAATCCTAACTTTAAAAAACCCCCGGTTTTTTATTTGTGTGTATTTGTGGTGTCATATCAACTGGACTACTGGTCGATTGAAATAACATAAGTTTGTACACCTTAAGGTTGCAAAGATATAGGAATAAGAAAATTTGAGTTTGTGGAAACTTAGTTTCTTTACGAACTATCCGGTCAACGAAGATTATCACAGCCTCTCGTATATTCTCATTCTTGAACTTCAAGCTCTTGACCCAACTCCCACTCATCATCTACTCATCATCCTGTCATTATCTACTTTGTTTAAATCTGTGCCGGCAGATTTGGACCAGTTTTTAAAAACTCTTTTATATTTTGTATCAAAAATACTAAATGTTCAGGATGCTACTAAATGGAGTGAGGTTAGGTCAATGGAGAGAGGAATGCAAGCTGTTCCTATTCTAATGGAAAACGGAACTCAAACCCATTTAACTCATCCAAAGAGTGTTTACATTCAATATGAATCCAGATCGTTTTCCGATGATGAAATGAGGAAAGCTATGTCATCTGACAAATTTAAAAGCTTTATCACTAAAGCTGAAAATCTAATTGAGATGGCTCAATCAGAGGTAAAAGAAATGATAAATGAACAATTTCAAATCAATAAAAATGTTATTCACATCTTTGATTATTTTTTAGGGAGATATAATGGGAAATATACGTGAAGACGTAGAACAGTTTTATCTGAGAGACCATGTTGAGGAAAAGATAGAAACTCAAATGATCGAATTTCTTTCACTTTCCGATCTGGTCTTCTCTAGGAATAAAAGAGTAAAGGTGAATATTCTAAACTAGATTTTGCATTGGAAGCTTTATACATAATTCAGCTGATAGCTGTTCTCTAAAGATTTTTATTTTTTTGGCCTCGACACAACAATTTATGATACTATTTTTCATTCTTCTTCCCATGTGATAATTTAAAAAGAGCATCTTTCCAAGGCGTCTATGTACAGCTTTTTAAGTGTCAATTTCCCAAAAGGAATTTTTTTCTGGAGAAGTTTCTTGGATATCCAACTTGCTCCCTAGGCTGTTCCAGTCTCAGTTATTGACCCTAAGTCTGTTCTAGCCGTAGCGATCATTACTCTCAGCCTGTTATAGAGCAGCGCTCAGCCTTTATTTTAGCCGGAGACGCCTCAACACCTTAAAGTGTGAAATTATTCCTATCAAAGTACAGGCAAAGGCTTCTATGTAAAAATTTACACATTGAGTCCCAAACTAACCACAACGATCTGCTCTTGGCCTCTTTGTGGCTTTCCCTTCTCAAGTAAAATTTATTTAGGAAGTTACACTTTGTGAAGTAACTGAAGAAATTTTGTTTGCATTAATTGTTGCTAGTATTCAAAGTATTTAAAAATAAGATTAAATTTCAATTATTATTAACAGGCAGTAGAGTGGCACAAACATTTTAATCATATCACCGCAATGGCTTGCGTTGATAATTTAAGGTAATTTATTTTGTAAAAAATCTAAACTCTTTAATTACTAAGTTTGAAAGTCAAACAGCCCTGCAAAGGCTGATTTGATGAATAAAAATAGGAAAAGAGGAAACATTTATGATTTGTAGTACAGGAGTTAAACAAAAATTCGAGGGAAAAACGTTTGTAAGGAAATATTTATGTTTTATTATATCATTTTGATTAAAAAATATCATTTTAAAGCTAAGTGAGTGCGACTTAACATGCATAATTGTAATAATTCATGTTTGTTACAAACCCGTCTCATCTACATTTTACATTTTACTCCTGCACTATCAACCCGTATCATCTACATCTTACATTTTCCTCCTGCACTATCAACCCGTATCATCTACATTTTACATTTTCCTCCTGCACTATCAACCCGTATCATCTACATTTTACATTTTCCTCCTGCACTATCGCATATTAAAAGTAGTGTACCTCGTATATGATATAATTGTAATTAAAATCCAGAACGCAAAATTTATTTTTATTGGTTTTTAACAAAATATTAACATATTAAAGGGACTGTAAAGGAAAATGAAAGGGGGTATAGGCTGAAACCTAAGAACTTGAGGAGCTGATTGAGACCTAAAAGAGTTTAATCTGATGTTCCTAGGTCTCGAGAAATTGATATAAAACTGTGTATACCAAAACTCATGTATGTGAGATTTGGTATAAGATACTAAGTTTTAAACAGATCATATTCAGCAAATACGCAACCAATCCTAAAACGATATATCCCAGAGTAGATTGAAAAACTCATGTTTGCTTCTTAATTTCAATAATTTCAATTTGATAATTTTTCATTTTTGATAGATATAATTGAATATTTGATACGTCTGTATCACATAATCAGAAAAATTCAACCAATGGCTGTGCAGTATCATTGTCACATCTGTATCACGTGACAATGATACTGCACTGCCAT